AGCATTAAATAACCCATTGCAATGATGATGTTGTAAAACAAAAATCAAACCAAACCTACAGTGACCCATGTGTCTTTTTTGTGAAATATTTTATCAAATGAATCTATGAAACTATCACATTTAAATGAACATGGAAAAATATTCATGATATATTACAATTGCAAAAAATGAAAGAGGCACTTCAAACGTGTCCTACTCTAGATAAATTTAATAAATTTAATCCAAAACTTTCATTGCTTCATACAAGATATCATAACTAATAGTTAAATGTGGTAAACCACACAAAATTGGAGAGATTCTAATAATACCTTCAATTTCTGAAATTCTTACCAAGGTCCTTAAAGTTGATATATTTTAAAATTGGTTTCTCTTGGTAATAATACTATAATAATGACTATTGATGAAATATGTGAGAGTAATGAAAATCAATTATGAATGGAATTTAAAAGGACTGAATTTAGCATACGGCCTGATGAATCAACTGCACAGAGTAATAGAGTAAGTTTTATTGGTGGCTTATGTGCATTTTGTTAAAGAAAGAAAAAATTTGACAAAATGCCTTTCTAAAAATCACTGAAAACAAATGAAGAAATGATTTTTGAAATTTTAAAAAGTTACCTTGAAAATAAAAATATGCTCTTGTGCACAACTGATTTTGCATCATCTATTGGCATGTTACTAAACTGGTCTGTCATATTAAAGAGGTGTGCCTGATCTATTTGCAATTCACTGTGCAATTCATCAGCAACACCTTTTTAAAAAGCTTAGTAAGCAGCTGTCTTCAATCATGATTTTAGTAATATTTGCTGTTAACAGAATCAAAGCCCAGGCCTTAAACTATAGTCTGTTCTGTCAATTATGTGAAGAGAATGATGAAAAGTTTGAAATACAACTTTCATACATTTGATGGTTATCACAAGGGTCTTGTTTGAAATGTTTCTTCAAGCTTTATGATAATTGTTGCAGGAATGGAAAATATTATTTTATTTGCCCTGTACATTTGGCAGACTCATGTGAATAAAGATAGTTCACAAAATAGGATTAAAACAAACAATTAATAAATGTATTAACAAGACATGTTACAGAAGGATAAAGAAAGAAACGAAGATGAAGTTCTGAACAGTTCTATATAATCTTCAGTCTGTGTTTCTGAAGTACTTACATACCTCATGTCTAGCAGAGTGAAAAGAAACATGTCTGCCTCCCCAAAAGTCAAAAAGAAAAGAGGAAGAGCCTTACAAATATTGTGCTATTTTTGATTGTCATCAGGGAGTGATAATCCAACATGTGTATAAATCATGACCAACTAGCAAAAGATATTGACTTTATTTATGCAGATGTGGCTAATTTAGTTTATATTTATAACAAAATGAATAACCTCAATTTGCAAGGAAACAATTTTAATCTAATACACAAAGAATGCAATTAAAAGCTTTATATGTAAAAAGGAATAGTATGAGTGAAACTGGCTGAAAGACGTTATGATGATCTATTGTGCACATATACAACAATTGAAGAAAAATTTTGAGAGTTGATTAAACAGAGGATTCCTGGCTAGATTAAAAAATAACACACATTTGTGTGCAAAATAGAACATAATTTGGTTTACAGGAGACAATCATTGCTTTTCAAATTGATGAAAAAGGGGATTTTGAGGGGTGAAATTTGGTTGCAATATCCTATATTTTAGAGAAAAAACTATGACAAAGTGGAAAAAGTTTTCATGTGACTTTTTTCTCCTTTAGTACTTCATTGGATTAAAGTGATGCTTATTTTGATGTGACTACACATGTACGTGAAGGGAAGGGGATGTTGAGAATTTAAAATTTAAATTTTTTTAAAATATGTATTTTGGGTATATTGTTTAACCAATTTAATTTAGTTTCTTTTTCATTATGCTGTGACACCCACCAGTGGTCGCGGTTGCAGTCTGTAAGGTTTCTTTCACCAGCATTTTGGGGTTGACTCCTTGTCACTGCCACCAGCCTGTGTCCCAGTCGATCTGGTCGTTCCCGGTTTGATACCAGCTTTGTCGTTCTCAGCTCGCCTTCAACACTTGGTCACTGAAGTAACTGCTTTGATCTCAAATCTAACCTACCCATGTTGTGACTCTGATCTTAGGTAGACGAAATCAATCAGGCGTTGGGCCATAGTGCAAGCTGAATCTGGGGTAAAGGTGATACCACACAAGCATAAGTAAAAGAAAAATAATAAAACAAACTCACGAGGTTCAAATATGTTGAGAAATAACAAGTAACTTTATCTATCTGTTGAATACAGGAGTGTGTTTCTCTCCCGGCCCGTTTCTATGGATTTGTGACACTTTTTGCATTTCTTAAGTGAGTTATGGTATCTTGTCGTTTGTCAATAAAAACTTACTTTTGGTAGGAAGACTAAGTCAAAAAGGACATGAAAATCTTTTAGTCAGCTCCTACGAGGCTGGTCTCCAACTGCAACTCCGAACTCTCTTGAAACTCTTGAAAACTCACTCTGACTGTCTCGAGACGGTCGTTTATATGGACACCAACCAACTCCGGGGTGGGGCTTGTCTTGGTTTGGGTTCTTTGACAATTCTTAATTCCCAACAAAAATTCTCTTTGTTCTTAGGCCAGGAAAATTAGTTACTTCCCATTTTTGGAAGATTAATCACTTTCCACTTTGGGGTTCCTCCCTTGTCTGTGAGGGAAGGTCAGAGGAAAGTTATCCTCCTAGACTCTTCCTCACTCAATGGGTGTTAACAACTTCTCCGTCTTTCTCATACATTCACCTCAGCCTATTACCCATGCTACTTCTTAGCCAATGATCTATCAGCAGTGTGGGTGTGGCTAGACTGGCCCTCATGTTTACAAAATCCTTTTTTTTTCTTTTTCCTTCGGCCAAAACATTTACAATTCCCAGATTGCCAAATAATTCTTTATATCATAATGCCCAGACCTCTATCGACACATTAATCACTGTCAAAAACCTGACATCTGGGTTCTCCGCTGGTCAATCCTTCAACTGGGTGGCCGTGCCTACCCGACAATTAAATTCTTTATTTTTCTCATGTCTTAAAATTCTCTTATCACCAGATGCCCATTTTCGAGTCAACAGTTTGAAAAAAAAGTAATAATAAAACTTTCATCCGTGATTTCCTTTTTCAGGCCAAGATTCGTACATACAACAGATGGATTCCCTCGCAGGAATCAGGAATTAAAATTAAATGGTATCTCTGAAAGATAATTAATGGCCACTCTCCAGGGTGGTCCCAAGCCAATTTCCCTCCATGATCGCATGCATGGGCTGGCTTTGTTTATCTTTTAGAATTCTGTTTCGTTTGACGTATCACTACCTTATCGTGACATTAATTAATTTGACAGAATCACAGTCTCGCTCCTTCTTACTGATTTTCTGTCTTTTGTGAAAAGTATCTTCCTTTTGCAAATAAAATAAATTCTTTTTTTTTTTAATGTCGCTCAGTCTATCTTTTGGTATAGCTCTTTCTCGCCTTAAGTATTTCCCGTTTTTAATTTCTATGGTTAATTAGTTAGCCAATTACCATAGCTAAATAGTGTCACAATGCTACCATAATAACTCTTGCTATTAAAAATCCCACATTGTGATAATAGAAGATCTGCCAAGAAAGGTAAAATATTATAAGAACATGGACGTAAATTTACTGTGAATGATCTAGTGATTAGAACACTTTCTAAACCTTTTCAACTTAATAAATTGCTTTCTCTTTTAATTAGAGCATCAGTTTTTAAAATTAAAATTATGATCAGTCTCATTACTGTGAGTAACTAATACAGTTAGTGTTTGTTTTGTAAAAGATCCCTTTGGGGTTCATCTTTTATTTAAATTCCTTTAGGTTATTCCTATGAATTACTTGTGAAAATTATTACAGGTGATAAAAGTAAATTTCTCCTTCAAGTTTTAGGGTATTATTTTGTTTCATATTAATTAAATCTTTTATTGTTTTAGAAGTATTCTTGATATATAAAAAAATATATATATCATTTTCCAATATCTTGTGAAATAAAGCCAAGTGATATTTTATTGCTTTTTCATCCTCCTCTCTGACTGAAAGGTTTGAATAAGTATAGAAAACTGAATGGAAATAGTGCCAAATAAGGATTTATGACTTCATTTAACAAATTTGGAAGCAAATATTGCAAAACTTGTTGATGGTCATCAGCCACAGGGAGCCATTAATAAATGTTATGTACTATTTATCTTATTTTAAATATATTAATAAATAATATATGCTATTATATTTATTACTTTCTTTATTCAAATTAATAAAAATATACCTTGAAAATACTAAAAGAAATGTAAAATAAGAAAAGTGTTTACATTTTTTAAATTCAATTATAACCACTACATAAAGATAGAATTTTAGGAGCAGTAATAGAAATACAAGAGCCTGGGTGGGCATTTGTGAAAAACATTGGGAGATTGATCTAAAATATTATCAGATACAGTACTGTAATATGTCATATAAAACTTAAATTTATGGTGTTTTAACTGGTAATTTTGCTGGTGTCACAGCCAAGGACTCAAATCCCATTTATATTTTAAGCCGGAATATGAAATGACGTGACTCAGGGTATGATTCCCTGGATTCATACAAGTAATCCTTTCTAACAATTGAAAGTTTATATAGACAAACATCCCTTTTTTTCTTCATTTTCTTTTATATAAAAAAGAGTTTTAAGTATTCAGTTTCTATGTTGAGTATTATTTTGCAGTTTCAAAGGAAAAATATCTGATTCTAATAAAAATATTCCAGTATATTTACATATAAAACTTTCTGACCTAAAAGTTCTGAAGAATTTTTTAAAATTAAAATTTGGTAGATAAATCTACAGAAATGATAGTATAATAAATTAAAAAAATATATAAAATACACAAAAGACCACCTTAAAATCATGTATTTTATTCTAAAAGTGAAAACAATTTTGTTGCCATATCTCGGACATGGGTTCTGAAAATATTTAGAAAGATTATAGGAAAGAAAATCATTGGTCAAGGATCTTGAAGAAATATTCCACCTGTAAAATAAAATTAAAGAGGTGAAATACTTTTAAAAATATAAACAAATTTAGGGGGAGTTAAAATATTTTTTTAATTCATATAAGAACTATAATCAACATGTAATATTAAAAAATTATAATAATGCAAACATCAATAAATTATTTTCATAACTTAATAAAGTTGATAAAACAGTTTGATTCAACTCATAGTTTTAAAAAAGATGATACAAAAAAAATGAATATATGTTTTTGTTAGAGATAAAAGTAAACAGTTTTCTGCTTGTTAGTAAACATACTTTTATAATTAATTCTGAACTTACTTCTAGTAGCCCATCAGTGGGAAGATCAGTACAATGAACAGCATTTTTTATTTTAGTTTTTCCATACAAAGCTCGTAATGATCGCGGACGGAGATGACAAGCTATTTCCTGAAAAAAATGTGATAGCATGAAATTATTATTTTATAAATTTTTCATTTAAATCTATAAATTAGTTAAAATATTTTTTTGGCTGGAATTCCAAAACAAGCACCTTATGTTCCATTAGGCTAAACAATGAAATTATGTAGAAGTAGCATGTTTTAAAATTCAATAAAAAGCTAGAGATTATTTCAGCAGTTGAGTATTTTATTCATTTTTTTGGTTTTCATTTATATTCTTTATTTATGACTACAAACTAGAGACCTCTTCTTTGTACTTACAGGATCAGCAGGGCCAGAAAAATCACGAAATGCTTTTGGGGCATCTTGTGCACGTATTGCAATAGCAATGCAAGGCCCAGAAATCATTTCACTGACCATAGACATATATTCAGGGACAACCCCTTTATAGACTTCAAAGAATTCTTCTGCATTTGCTCGTTCAAGATAAAACATTTGTATAGCTGTAATCTGAAAGCCAGCATCCAGAACAGCATTCAAAATGTTCCCAGTTAAACCTAAAAAAATAAAAAAATATATACACACAGTGTCTTGAAAAGTTTGGAAACACCATCTACAAATCATGAAATTAAAATTGTTTATGAAAATAAAAATATTACATTCTTTTGTGTGAAAAAAGTTACTAGATAGGAAATGTACATTAACCTAAATTGAAAAGATAAAGGAAGAAAATATTGCTTTTTAATTGCTGCCTTTTGAAAGGTGCTGATAAAGACAATTTGGACACAAAATTTCAACAATGAACTGTAAAAAGCCTTGAAAGGCTTTTTACAGTTCATTGTTGAAATTTTGTGTCCAAATTGTCTTTATTACATTTTCACAAGTTCTGTTGTGGTGATTTTCATTAGTGCAATCTTCTTTTTATAATATTGCAGATTCTCTTTAAGATTGGTGTCTGGGAAATTGAGCAGCTATTCCAAATGCTTGATATCCTGATCCTGAAATCATTTTTAAACAGGTAGTGCTATGGCAAAGAGAACTTTCCTTTATGCAGATAAAAAAAACTCACCATATTTTTCTATTACTAACTAAAAATTAAAATGGCTCACAATTTTATTAATGTCGTAAAGTAAAAAACTAAAAAAACTCAGAATAACTTTAAAGATTAGAATTACTTTTAATTATATCTTTTCAGCGGATTTTCAATTTTAAACTGGTTTATACTTAAATCATTCCAACATTTAATTATTCTTAAAAAATATTGATCTATCAATAAAAGTTTTTGATGGAATAGAAAAGAAAACTGTTAGCATGCTAGCAAAAATATACATAAATTAAATGCATTATATATATATATATATATATATATATATTCATAAAACTAATGACAATTTGATGAACATTGGTTGGTAATTTAATTTAAAATTGATTAAATAACTAAAAATAAAATATCATTTCATTGACTCATTAACTAAGATACTTTGCTCAATATCTTATGAAAGAAAATCATTCTTTCAACAATTCATCTCACCTTCAGCAACTGCATGTGGCTTAATTACACAGCATGTACAATCTTCCATTATGGCTGTATTCTTACGTAGAGAGCTTGAAGTAGGAAAAAAGAATTCGAGCTGTCTAGCAGCTTCTGTCGCACTAGATGAACCAAAAATCATGTGTTCTGATGAAAAAGAAAAGTGGAACAAAGTATAAACTTCAACAAAATCCAATTTAACACCAAACATAATTTTTTTAAATTTAAAAAAAAAAATGTTATGCAGTATTCAGACAGTTCCTACAGAAAAAAGAATCCAAAGAACTAGAATGCATATTAACTATTATATTGCAACTGCAATGTTTTGGATATTGTCCATTTTTAACACAAATAAATGATCCTTGAATTAAATATTATTGAACATTCGACAATCTCAAATCAAAAATGCAAGGTAAAAAATAATATTTTGTGAGAGATAAGCAATGTAATTATGGAAAGAAGCTAAAAAGTTTGGTAAAATTAATTTATTGGCAATTGGGAAAAAAGTCAATGACAAAGGTAGCAAATGACAAAATTAGTTGAATTATGAATACCTTGTCCAGTTTGTCCCATCCATTTTTTATATAAGAAAGTAATTTCTGTTGTTTTAATGATCACATCATTAAACTTTATGTTCAAAATAGGATTCAATAATATATAAGGTGTAACTTTTAGAAGTATAGAATATTATTTACCATTCTCATATCTTGCAATTAAAGAAAGAGCAGAAGGTGAAATATCTTTATCTTCTTCACACCCAATGAATTCCTTCCATGCTGTAATAGCATTATCTCCAAGTAGTTCCATGGCAAGTACAGGCCCTTTAGAGATGTAATCTATAATCTCTCTGCAAATAATGATCATAGGATACAATAATTTTAAATTGGACAATATTACCTAATTCTATAGTTTTTTACCAAGTAAAATTATGTCTGTTATTTCAGCAATTATGCTTTTAATTTATTTTAACTATAATGACATAATTCTTTTATTTGCTAAATTTTTGTAGAGCAAAATATTCAGCTTAAGTGGTTTATTATGGCTTAAAAAAGTGAATAAGAATGAAGAATAGCACATATCAATTCCTACTACAGAAGTGAGTTACAGGGAAAATGATACCTGGAGCTGTAAGCCTGGACTCATTTTCTTTCTTTCAGTGAATTGTAATGTATTCTTCCACTATTTCTGCTTCTTTTTTAAAATTTCAGCAATCAATGCTTACTCTTGCTAAATACTACAAAAACCAATATAACAACTGAGAAAAATCCCCCTCCAACCATTATTAACAATTATTACCCACAATGCTTTGCTCCTTGTCCATAAAAATTCTCTCCACATTTACTCAGTGTCTTTGATGATGTTAAGGTAAGTGATGCTTCTTCCGCTATCCATTTATTCAAACCATAACTTATTCTGTAGTGGTAACAAATATTATGACTCTTAAAATAATTCAACATTATCTTATTTTTTAAGCGACACATTATTTAAGTTCCTAAAGTTTAAATTTCATTTATATACAGGAAATTAAAAGAAAATACACTGAAACTTAATTTTAATTAAAAGTACTTACTGTTGATTGATAGCTTCTTTAGGTGTGACTTCACACATTTTCATTTTTGTGATTCGAAATTTCTTATCTTGGAGAAGGTTGATAATTTCACCCATTTTGGGAAAAGCTTCTGATGTTAGCAAAGCAAGAGTTCTAAGGAAGACAAAATTGATTGAATGATTAAAGATAAAATGAAATATTGAAAAGCAATGTTGTGCACACTTGTACAGTGCAGCGAGTTGCAATTCCCAATTGTGTTATCTAATATTAAATGTCAGTTTCTACATTTTCTCTTCTTTTAACTCCATGTCTTTTTTCTTTATAATAAATAAGCAATTTGTTTTGTTGCTAGCTTTTATAACTGCTTAGTTATTCAAACAAAGCTATTTTCTGCTTTGAAAGTAGCAACAATATTACATTTTGGAAAGAGGTGTAAACATAGTTGAATTTTTTTATTAGTATATTTTGAAAATCTAACAAATCTAAAATTTAATTACCCAAAGTATAGAAAAATACATTTTTAAAATTAGTTACCCAGTGCTGTTTAGTAACAAAATGTTTTATTATGACACCACAAAGGGGAACCACAGACCATACACACTCTCTAGTCTCAGAACTGTCTCACAAGCAAATGTTCCACTTATAAACTTATCAGTGATCATTTCATTTGGCCAAACATGGGGGCTGACATCAAAAACTTAGCAATAAAGTGTTTGCACTGTCAACATAGTAAAGTACACAAATACACAAGAACACCCATGGGAACTTTTGAAACCCTAATGCAAGGTTTTCACACATACATATAGACATTGTGGGGTTGTTACTTAGTTGCCAGTACTACACATACATATTAACTATTATTGTTGATTGTTTCACATGATGGCCAGTAGCTGTACCATTAAAAGATATGAGGAGATTGTGGCAAAAATAATCATGAGATCTGTACCTTTGGGTCCCCTCAGGTCATCATTACAGAGGAACTTTTCCATGAATTTACCAATTTACTGGGAAGCAAGCAAGCACATCAAAACAACTGCATACCATCCATGTGTAGACAGCATGGAAGAAAGATTGCATGGAAAATTAAAGTCTCTTTAACTATATCAAACAATCCAGCAAATTGGGTAGACCACCTACTTGTAGTACTCCTGTCCCTATGAAAATTAAAAAAGATTTAAATTATACTCCAGCTGATTTAGTGTTTGGCACAAACATGATTCTACCAGGGCAATATTTCAGGGAAAACTGAGATATGAACCCAACATCAATTTTTGTAGAAACATTAAAGGAAAGAATATCAGATACTCAATTCATGTTCACCCATTCAGTCACTGTGCATACCTCAAAATCTGTACAACTGCAAATATATCTTTGGACAAAAAGATGGAGTTAAGAAACCACTTAATGAAAGTTATGAATGCCTGAAAAAAGTTCCTTCAAGGGCAGAGAAATATTTTATGATGCACAATGGAAACATGCAAGACAGCATTGCCATCAATAGGATTGTTACACTATTGGATAGGCACTGGTAAACTGAAAAACACTTAATTTCGATAGAATGAAGATATACTGATGACCAGACAAGGGAAAATGAAAGAAAAGGATATTTGTATTTTTATTGAGAAAAAACTATAGGACTGCAATTAAATTTCTTGTCTGCTGGAGAGGTAAAACAAAGAGACCATCTGGTTTTGATTAAGAACTGAGATTAAGTAATAAGCTATTCTGGAGGTCCAAGGACCTCCAGGAAAGAAATAGATAATATTTTTATGACCATTGAGCAATAGAGAAAAAGATGGACTCCTGCAACAACAGACAAAAAAAAAAAATCACACACCCAGTACAGAAAAAAAATCTAGCTATTTCAAAACTTACATCAGATACTAACAATTGATAGTGGCTTAAACCTCACTCATTCTAGGGGGGAGGCACTGTTGGTACTTTCAAAACACACAAAAAATAAATAAAATACATTTTCAAATTCCCTCCACAACGAGACTTTTATCAAGTCTAAAAATAAACACCTAAAACCAAACTTGGTGTTGCTCACTAAACACCTAAAACCAAACTTGGTGTTGAAACACTAAAAAATATCAAATTTCAGCTTTTGTTTGGAATCTATTTCTGACCTATAAAAAAAAACAGTTTAAAAGCCACTGGGAGAGCGCACACTGAGCACATTCACTTACTCATACCAGCCAAAAAAAAAGCCTCCTCATTCTAGTACTTACACCATATAGAGAGATTAATAAAAGCAAGATAAAAACTTGCACAAACACTTGTCTAGATAGACCGCAAAAAGAAACATCTTAAACTGACATCCATTAGACATGGCACGTGGAACTAGAACAGTTTAACCCAGTGAGCAGAATAAAGGGTTCGACATTCCAACCACCTGAAGAAGGATAGAGTGTACAACAGCGTTGTGATAAACATGGCGACAAAGATGAGGACAATAGTCTGAATAATGTAAATAATGAGGTTATATGTCTTATAGGATAATTTAATGGGAGAGTCTTAAAGACTAATGTCACTTGTCTGTCTCTTCAAATTACCTGTAGTAGTAGTAGTAGAAATAGGTGGTGGAAATTTTTTTTTTTTTTTTTTTTTTTTTTTTACTTCTTTTAATTAAAAGGCTCCCATTATGGCAGTCATTTTTATTCTATGAACTTGTTTAAACATCTTATAGTTTTTTTTTCTATTTTTTTATTTCAGTCTATAGGGGTAGATGATTCTTTCCCTATTTAAATTTACAAACATCTGCTGGGGCACCTGAAGTATGGATGAAAAAAACGTCAAAATTTCATATTTAGAATCATAATATTTTAAAACATTTTAATTGTATAATAATAATAATAACAATAATAATGATGCTTTATCGCAAAAAAAAAAAAAAAAAAAAGAGAAGAAAGACAATGAAAGAAAAAAAATTACATGGAGTTTATAAATGAAAAAGTGATGTGTATTTCAATCAAAAACTAACGAATTAAGTAACACATACTTCTCTGTACGAGTGCCCAGAGCTTCCCTTGAATAATCATCTCCATAGTCAATAACTGTGAGTTGCCGAGAGAAGATATTAATCATGCTGCCTATGTACAGATCATTCATTGTAAGATGATCACATTTAGTACGCTTCAGGAAGATCCGATGTTTTTTGAAATCATACTGCAAATCATAAGATGTGTAAAAAAAAAAAAAAAAAAATAAAATAAAAATACATTAAGTCCAAGAGAATAATTAAGTTGATATTTATTTCTATTTGGGATCAGCACTAAATAAATCAGAAGTTATTGTTATAAACAAGAAACTATATACAGAGAATAAGATTTTTATATTCACAAGTCATATCTAGAAACATTTGGAATATGTTTAAGAAATAATAATCATACTTATTTAAATGATCACAGTATTTAAGTATATTTTATTAAATATGAATGTGTTAAAATGTATAATAATAAGACTAACTTAGTATACTGAAATCTTTGTATCCAAACATAAGACAAAAGAAAAATGTTTTTTTTTTAACAAAAGAAACTAAGATGACAGAAGAAAAGAAAATCTATTACTATAAAGCCAATAATTGTTTGTATGGAATCTCGGAATTGAAAACTAGTCAAAAAGGATATAAATAGAAAGGATGGTGCGTTATCACAAATCAATTTAAGGTCAACATTACTATTTTAGGTTAAATTGTAAAAAAAAGATTTTTGTATGTGATATCACATAGAATGGAAGTTCCCTAATTTTTTTTTATCCCTGTAAATCTTTTTCTGTGTCCCTTCAGGATGTGGGAGATTATTGCTTTCTGCAACTCCCTATCCTTTGTAGTTCTTAATGTTTGTCTTGCTTCTTGCTCATCATCCTGCTATTCATTTACAAGGTCACCAGGTGATGCTAACTCTCCCTGTCCCTTTTCCCTTCAATATGTCATTTGAGTGTTTTAAATGTAAAAAAAAAAAAAAAATCAAAAAGATCTAACAGCACAGAGAATGGTGGATGGTTCAAACTCTGATATATAAATCAGAATAAATGATGCTATTGACATTAAGAAAAGGAGTTTACATCCAATACCATAATTTCCCCATGTATAATATGCCTTCATCCATAATACACATACCTAAAATTGTGCTGAAAGTGTGGGAAAATGCTTCTACTCATGCATAATATGCACCCTTTGTTTGGTAATGAAACCCTATAAATTGTACCTCTCCAATTTCATTATGGCCAGCATTCAAGCTGTAATTGAAGATGTTTATCAATTTCCAATCAGCACAATTCTAAAATGAAATGGAAATACCTATATTATGCCTACTGAGCAGACCCATTAACCTGTTTTTGTTTGATAAAATGTGCAATCTACCGTATCTGTATGTAGTTTTTCACAAAAAATGGTTTTAAACATAGAATATTATTATTATAATTTAGTTTTATGATAATTCTTATTATATTTTACATTTGTAAGTATTGTTAAGTACATATGAGTGCATTTGACATCCTTATGGGGTCACAATCGTCAAATGTTAGTGTCAAATTGTCATATGTTTGTGGTGAGTAGTCATTTCGCAACTGAAATTGACCTATAAAACTGCAATTTTTTGAAGATTTTTTTTTGTAGCTGTGCATAATGAGCAGTTTTAATTTTGCTTATTATTTTTTAGAAAAAATGCGTATTATACATGGGGAATTACAGTAATTATTTATTAGTATAAAATTTAAAAAAAAAAAAAAAAAGGACATTTTCCTCAGAAAACCATTTTAAATTTTAAAAATAAACTTTTATTTTAGGTTCTATATTTGTTGATTTAAATTCATGTTATTGTGAAATTTTATAAAAGATAAAATGGAATCTTTTTTTTAATTGCTTGGAAGCAACAATTTTCATGGAATCAATGTTCCTGAACAGACATTATTATCAGGTGTCATTTTAAAAGCAATTTGTATAAAATATAGCAAACCAGTGACTGTATCCATTTTAGAAGCTCAGGAAATGTCAAGTACTTTTCTATTATTTTAAAGCAATATTAAAGTGAGTGAAGTGAAATCATTCAAAAGGGTACAAACATTTATTCGTGTCTCAACATTTAGTCAAGCCAGTTAAAGGTATACAAAATTCCTAGATTTATGACAAATTGGATTGCTTGCTCCAAACTTTACAAATAAATATTTAATCAAAGGTTCAGTCTCTTTAGGAACACAATGGCTTCTTTAAAACTAGTGACATGGCATCAAATCAAAAGTAATTCAATGTAAATGTCTTTATGAAATGCATGTAGAGAAAGGACAGAAAAACTAGATTTCCAATTTATTTCCACAATTATTGTTTAGCTCACAACAGCTGTTATATTCATTATGATTTATCTTAAATGGAAATTAGTGTAATAGTGAATGAGTGGCAAGATGAGTGGCAGCTATGATTTATATTATTAGACATTTTATTAATACATTAAAATATTTTCATTTTTTTCAGATGATTGAACTCTAACCAAAAAGTTAGCATATGCTTTCACTGAGATTACTCACCATTTCCACAGACTTATCCTTTGGGTAGAACAACAGCTGATAACGGCGTATCATAGAAGCATGCTGGTCATACCAATCAACCAAAAAGCAAAATCTAGTGTCTGACTCACTCTACAAAATAAGATATTTGATAATTAAAAATAGATGTCTATCTCATCATTAGTATGAAGATGCCTTAGAAATTGGGATGATTCTTCCATTCTGATGAACTCAAAAGCAAATGAAACTTCTTAGACTACATTCACCTCCATTAAAAAAAAATCCTATGAGACCTAATGGATACAAATTATTATGAATAATGCACTTTGAATGCAGTTATAAGATCAACTGTATTTCTCTCAAAACTTGGAGGCAAAACTTAGTGGTTGTTGGTTGACTTAATGAGGTTCATGTTTATAAAAATTCATCTAAAAAAATAAAAATTCATTTTAAACACAGTAAAAAGTCTTCTTTTTCATGATTAGCCAAATAAAACCAAATAGGAGTTAAAGGAATGCAACAAAAAAATGTTTAAAATAATTTAGTTTTTGCCAGTTTCCACCAGCAAAAAAAGAAATTGAATTATTATATGCTTTGCTATTTAGACCAGCATACTCACAATGTTGTTGGTCATTGTACTCTTCAAGTGTCTGTCTTCATAACTAGTAACCTTCTTGGTAGTGCTGAAGAAGAGTTTTATACTCTGGTTCGGCATATGAAATGAACAAATGATATAAAGGTGAATAAAACAAGTGAGTACTAACCTATAAGAAATTGTCCCTAAGCATGGAAAGTAGAATGAGAACAATCTACCTTTGTTGATTGAATAAAGACTTTGGTAATCAAGTATGAGAATGGCTGGAGTGTACAATGGCTGAAACTGGGGATTGCCTGCACCTTGTATACCAGGATCCTGCAAGGCGGCATTGTTTCAGGACTATGAAACAAAGAGACAATAAACACTTTTACTTTTTGCTCTAGAATGTGGTAGATGCAAAACTTGTCCAGTCTTCCTCCAGAGGCAGAGATATCCCATGGACAAATGACTGCTAATTTTCAACCCAGCCACATAGTGTACTCACACACACGCACACTACTGCTAACCATATAAATGTTTTTTTTTTTTTTTTTTTTTTTTCCAAACTATTTGTATACTCTTAAATGTAATTTTTGCTTTTGGGAGCTATGTTATTTTTTATATGAAATATATGCATAAAAATCCTCCATGTATGGTATTCAATCCTTTTGAAGTTGTTCATTTCATTTCTTTCAAAAGTCATCCAATTACAAACCTTAACTCCTTCCTTTACAAGTATAACAACCAAGATGAGCATGCAGGACTGAATTGCAAATCATATAATAATTGTTCATCTAAAATATGACAACAAAAATTTTAAATTTACATTTTGTTAAAAATAAACCACATTATATATATATATATAGAAAAATTGGACTAATTATATGATAAATTGCTTCTTTTAAGTGAGTGTATAACAATCTCTAAACCCTATGACAAAACATAGATGCAACATCCACCCCTATCAAGAAAAATAATATACAAAGTTTTTAAGTAATAATTTTTATTCTTATTTTTATTTATAGTTTATTTCCCAGTTTTGTAAAATATTACATTCATTAACCCTTACAGAACTTCTTATCCAATTTCAGCACAAACAGTTTTTAAAAAATTAAAATTAAAAAAAAAATATTAATAAGTTCATAAGAACTTCAGTAAACATTACTTTTTTGATTCAATGTAATTATTTTTTTTAGAGATGGGACTAAAATTGCATTACAGTTATTTTCTTTGATTGAGTATCCCATTAGGATTAGAGTTGCAATAAAAATGATATGAAAGAACTTTTTAAGTTTTGTTTTTCTTGTGTTTGTAACATGCCAGAAGTATGATGAAGTTTTAATTACTGGAGATTTTAATAATAGGTCTATGGGGAAACTCTAGTAGTTAACTCAGCTGACAAAGCCAAGCTTTATACAACTTTAGAATGTTTTCTGATGCAACATTCTGAAGAACCAATTTGTGGTAACAATATACTTGATCTTGCTTTATCTATCAATGAAGAAGCTGTCCAGAATTGTACTGTGATTGAGCCATATGGGATGAGTGGTCAGAGAATGGTGGTCTGGTAGTTTGTTCTACAGAAGGTGATGACTGGAAGGAATATTATGATTACAGGAATGGGAATTATAAAGAAATGGCAAAATATTTAAGAAATTATCATGAGAGTGACATCTATGAATCACAAATAAAATCTGAGAATGCTTTAAAGAGACAATGAGGATTACCAGGAATCATTTTGTTCCCAAGAAATCTTGTAAATAGAGTAAAAACAAACCCTTATGGTGGAATAGGGATGTTTATGTTACCAGAAAAAGACATTTGAGATGGTATCTATTGATACTGCAGAAGTAAACATTACCAAGATTATATAACGTATAAGAGAGTCTTCCATAGAGACTCTAAAGTTATTAGACAATCTAAAAAAGCTTGAACATAAGATTGAAAAGAATATCACAGATCCAAAAAGCTCTCAACATGTATGCATCTGGCAAAACCTTAGTAAAAAAGGGATTGAACTACTTAAGGATAGTGCATTGTGATAACAAACAATACAAAATCTCCCCAACTTTTAAATGATTATCTTTAGAGTGTTTTATTTCTGAAATTGCCAATGTTCAAAAGATTCTTCCTGGAGGTAGTGAAGAATTTGTCGATGTACCTGTGGACAATGATTCTGTGCGCCCAAAGTTGCTGGGTTTGAAATTTCATCTATCCAGCAGTCCTAAAATAAGTTGCAAATTAACTTAGTGAACTTTTAACGAACCAAACACTTTCAATCAAGTGTAGACACTGGATCCAATGAATGGAAAAACTGTCAATGTTGTTCTCATTTTAAAAAGGTTAGTAAGAACTTGGCAAAGAAATATTGACTAGTAAACTTCACATCTGTAGTATGCAAGGTAATCCCTGATAAGGGATGGAATTAAATGACATCTGAAACACGTGACAAAGTTAGTTATAAATTCGGTAACACGACACTCATCTTCAATGAGCTTTTTGCCAAACAAATGCACGCCGTTTAAATCTTTGAAGTTTCTAAGTTAGATTTCCTAATATAATTTCAAAGTTCTAATTGACTTACTCACAAAACAACTTCACTTCAACATCAATAACTTACCAGAACAGGAATTCTACTCAAGAACACAGATTGCCAAACAAAGGCAACGTTGAACATTAACCTCAAGCAAATCACCATACAGCTAAAAGATTTCTAATATCTGTCGAACAATTTATTCAAGAGTAGTAAACATAAAAGTTATTCTTGTAAACACAGAAACTCAACATTTGATATTCATCAACAATTTACCAATTACGATTGCATACAAAAAACATTCAATATTCAACAGATGAAGGGAGACAACTTTTACTTAATCTCCAATGATACAAGAAAATATTATTTCATTTGAACTGATCAATTCCTTAATTCATTTTTCTACAAGAACACAGAACAAATCCTAGAAAAATTCTCTTTCAAATATTGTAAACATTTGTTATATAAATGCTTTACTCTTGTTTTCTAATAAAAAATATTGTTGTTTGTTACTTTTGTTGTTAATTGACCTTGTGCCATACTCAAATTAAAAATGTTTGTGGAGAAGTATATTTTCACGCAGCCAACAAAATACACCTTCTGAAATATATATTTTCTTTTATAACTTACTCCTCCGCAACAAATCTACTGGGATTGAAAACTGGTTAAGCCTTAAAAAACAGTTAAAACCGTTAAGGGTACAAAACAAAGTTGTTAAAAATTGTACAAGTGGTCAGAAGACTGAATAATAAATAAAATAAAAATCCTTTTAAATTTTAATAGACTGAGTCCATTTTTAGGATATAAATTTTATGATCTATATTCCAATGGCGGGTAAGTTTATTTTAAAATTTCAAACGACGTTTACATTCTCTAATTTTTCATTTTATCACTGATGTAATTTTATTTCAAATCTAAAGGAGAGCTCAGCTTCAATAGTTTTTTTTTTTTTTTTTTTGTATGCAAAAATCTTTTGAAACAATACCAGCTCATTGTTATAGTTCATGTTTTTCTCAGAAAATAAACTGTTAGAAATTAGAAATTTTACTTTTCTGGAAAAAGGCACCTTCAAAACGTTACCTCTGAGAACAATAACTGTCATTAGAGTTAAAATGCATAAGGAATTTGTGATTGTGACTCTGATCTTCCCATTTCGAAAGAGCGCAGTAAAATACAAGCGTGCAAAATTAAAAACACGAAACAAATAAATTACTGATTACTCTCTATCCAGTTTCACAAGCAATATTTTGATTCTTCGCTTTCAAAAGGGAAAAACAATATCATATCACCGATAAAGATAAAATAATTTATTTTTACCATTACACGAGATCCAAACGAAATACTATGCATCACAGAGTTAAATTCCGTACAGAATGTTCAAAATTAAAATTTTCTCAACCAAATTCCAAATGCTTTCCGGGTTTAAATGTTTGTTGTTTAAAATATTGTTGTTAGCAACAATTGGGAAATCCATATTGACTTCACTTCCGGATACAACTAATTTCAATTTCACAGACGCCGATAGATTTATTTATCAATTAAGTTTCTAGTTTACTTAAAAACTAACTTGTTTAAATTCTTAGATTAAAGAAAGTTTTATTTCATTAGAATTCAAGTCATAATCGAAATGCTCTAATTTATTTTAATTGGAATCTTTATAAAATCTGAGAAAAAAAATGGAAACATTGAAATAAAAACTCATTTTAATTTCAATAATATAGGAAAATCAATTAACAAAAAAAAATGTTGAGAAATTTTTCATTTAAAAACAAAGTGAGAAAGCAAAGAGTTAATAATTCGCTTTTTAAGCCCCGCGCTAAATATCTAAACATTTCCGAAATCGTTATATTTCCGTGTAAATTGACATGCTGAATTCGAAAATAACAATTAAATTTTGATAAAATCTACCGTTTTGGAGTTATCGACAATAAAAGTTCGGACTGGCCTTGTTTAACTACATTCAGTGCGGAACATCTTGCGCGCGGAAGCCTAATTGACGTCCTTTTTACTGCTCTTAACTGATCTTACTCGTCTAAATTACTGCGCATTTAAGTTGTGTCGGAAAGCAATGAGAAGTGTTGTTTTTTTTTCAGCTGTTGTTTTTTTTTTATAGTAAAGCTTTCTTTTTAAATAAAAAAAAAACAAATTAAATAATAAAACAAAGCAAATAATAATTAATGCGCAAACTTTGTACGAACTTTGAAAAGAGCATGATTATTTACAAAATAAAAAATGTTCCTTCCTAGCACTTTTTTATTTTGTAAATAATCATGCTACAACAGTTGTCGGTAAATTTGCTTTTCAATCCCCAAGCTAAATATCTATTAAAATTTTTCGAAATCGTCATATTTCCGTATAAATATACACGCAGAACTCGAAGTAACAATTAAAATTATGATAAAAGCTACCGTTTTGGAGTTATCGACCAGAAAAAAATCGGATTTAATCGCAGTCGTTCGCCCACCATTACCAGCTTTGCATAATTAGATTCACTGCGGATCAGTTACGTTAATTTCCGTAGCGCAATCATAAATTTTTGGCCTATTTACTACTTTCACTGCTCTTACTCGTCGAAATTGCTGCGCACTATCGTAAAGCAATGGCAAGTGGCGATATCAAAGTTGGATGCTAAGTCTGGATACTGGCCCATAAAACCCTATCGCAAAAGTCAGCCACTAACAGCCTTCCAAATGCCATTTGGGAGGTACTGTTTTGAACGACTTGCATTTGGCCTGGGTGTAAGTCAGGATATTTACCAACTTGAGATGGACAGATTACTCGAGAAGTACACTGGAACATGTGGCATAGCTGACGATATCACCATATACGGGTCAACAGAACAGAACATGAGCATGATGAAAACCTAAAACATTTTATGGAGGTCGCTAGTCCAGAGAAATGTAAGATAAAACGCTAGGAAATCTCCTTTGGAAACCTGTACACACATACCAGGTTTGACCCAGCAAAGGTATGTGACCAACAGGAGATGTCAGAACCACGTAACAAAACAGAAGTGCAACAGTTCTTGAGTGTGATATCATACCTATCTCTCATCATCAAGGATTTCAGCTCCAAAACTGCCGTGTTGCGTGACCAGTTACCCAAAGACTCTGATTTTCAATGGGAACCAGAAAGTGTTCGAAGACCTAAAGAGTGAAGTATCTGAAACGTCCCTGCTTCACTATTTTGACCCACAACTTCCAGTTTACATGCACTGTGACACGCGTATACATGGAATAGGTGCAGCCCTGCTACAAACGGATTCAGCTGGCAATCTATCGCCTGTTGCATATGCTAGGAAGAGCTGAACACAAACGGAACAAAGATATGCATGTATCGAGCGCGAGCTACTGGCCATCGTATTTAGCACACAGAGATCCCACATATACCTATATGGCCACAATTTCCAAGTCATCACCGACTATAAACCCATTACAATGACTATTGACAAACCGCTCAGCTCAGCCCCGGCACGCCTACAACGAATGCTCATACAACTCCAGGAGTACATCTTCAAGCTTGCCTATAACAAGGGATCTTACAACGTCTTGGCTGTCATGCCTACCATCACCCGGTAATTTGAACCCTATCGAGCTTGATGTCCGGGTTGATACTGTTCGTTTCTCCACTGATCGCATTGAAGAACTGAGAAACGGTACAACAGCAGATCCTTTGCTCAACCAGTTGAGAGATACCATCATCACGGGATGGCCAGGGACAATCAAGCAGCTGCCTACTGACATCGGAGTGTTCTGGGGTCTAACAAACCAGCTCTCAATTGATGATGGTCTTATCCTCAAAGGACAACAAATCGTCATTCCGTTGATACTTCAAGAAGACATTCTAAAACAGCTTCATACCGCTCACTTAGGACAGGAGAAAACGAAACTCCTTGCCAAGGACACTGTCTACTGGATAAACATAAACAGAGGCATCAAACAGTTTGCAAAGTCATGCAGCATCTGCCAACAGCACCAGCCATCTCAAAATGCAAGTGCCACTTATGCAACATGACATCCCAACAAAGCCATGGGACGTAGTTGGCACAGACTTGTTTAATCTCCATGGAAGTCAATGGTTGATCATAGCCGACTATTACTCCAAGTACCCTGTAGCCAAACACCTACCTGTTCATTCACCACGCAGTGTTATAGTGAACATCACACGCCAAGTCTTTGCAGAGTTTGGCATACCATCAAAGGTAGTCAGTGATAATGGACCGCACTTTTCAAGTCACCTCTTTTATATTGTGTGGGTATATATGTAGGATAAGACATATCGATATAAGACTGACAAGAACACGTGTGAACGTTAAGACATCTTTATTGCAACTGTCGTGTTAGTAGTGGTTAAACAAATTTGATGCTGATTGGATAAGGACCACTGTCCCTGTGGTAGTGAGAGGGAGTGGTAAAGGGGACACGATCCATCTCTAACATCTCCGGTTTTTTAATAAAAAGTTTTTTATTCTCTATATTTTGCTGGAAGCCTTACAATTCTTCCTCTTCTGGTTATAGTTTTGAGAATGTTGTTCTTGTTGTTGTTTACAGGTGGACCAGAAGAAAGAAAAGAGACTTCGTTTAAAAAGAACTACAACACAAAAAGGAATTCATGCAACATAACAAATTCAAAGGGAAATTCGAGTAACATTGAGAACGACGGGCATATTGGAATAGTGATGTCTAGTGCTCTATTCACATGTCACATGTGTAATGATGCCGAAAATTTATGGATTCTGAAAGTTTTGATGTAGCACAAGAGATAACTCTGGGGGATGGAAACTCGGTGGAAGCCCTTGGAAAGGGAACTATTGAAATGTCATTGAAATTACCAAACAAAGACCAGCGAGGATACTATCTATACGAGACTTTATATGTGTCTAAACTTTCTTTCAACTTATTAAGCACTTGTAAAGGCACAGAATGTGGCCAAAAATTTGTTTTTATTGACCATAACTGTAAAATACTTGGTGAAAAAGGAAAAAAATTTGCCACTGCTACCAAATTTTAAAATGTATATTATTTGAACTTTGAGGAAAAACAAGTGTCTGCCCATGCAGCTGCAACATGTTCAAATAATGATACTAGAGAAGAGATTTGGCACAGAAGATATGGTCATCTTGGAGCAAGGAATTTGCAAAAATTAGTTAGAGAAAACATAGTAAATGGCTTGGATTTTGATGTTACAAAAAATTGAATTTCTGTGAACCATGTGCAGATAGAAAACACCATCGCCATTCATTTTCAAAATATGTTGAGAGAAAATCCAACGAACTGCTAGTACACAGTGATGTATGTGGAAAAATTGAGAATAAATCATTAAGTGAATGTGAATACTTTGTTACATTCATTGAAAAATCAAGTGGACACAAAGTTAAAGTACTACACACAATTGTGGAAAATATACTTAAGGAGAAACAGAAAATTATTTGAAGAAAGAAAGTATGAATATACTGTTAGTAAGACAAAAATGGAGTAGCTGGTAGGATGAATCAGACATTGGTAGAAACAGTACGAGCAATGTTGTCTGATTCTAAGTTACCTGAAAGATTTTGTGTTGAAGCTTTATTTACAGCAACATGTATTTGAAATAGAAGTTCAACAAATGCAGTGCACAAAATGACACCATATGAAGTATGGACAGGCCACAAACCCAAAGTAAAACACTTACGTGTATTTGGATACAGAGTTTATGCTCACATACCAAAGGATGAAAAAAAAGAAAATGGACCCTAAAGCTAAGTAAAGCATCTTCCTCAGATATAGGTCTCGCATTAAGGTATATAAACTTTACGACAATGAAAAATTGAGAGTCTTCTACAGTAGAGATGTAATCTTTAATGAGTCAAGACCAATAGATGAACGAATAGAAAATGAGAAGAATGACGGAGACAAAAAACATTCTGTTGTAGAAATTGAATGTCAGAATAACAGTGAAAGTGAAGATGACAAATTAGAAAAGAAAAGATAGTTGGTGTTTATGTCGATGATCTTATGGCGGGCTTCACCACATTAATTTAACTTAGATTAGGAAACCGAACTGACGTGAAGAAAAAGAGGATAAGCCAAAAACATAATTACACATAAAATTTGTATTTAACAAGATGTACAAACAAGGATGTGAAAGAAAAGCACGCATTGAGTAAAACAAGAGTCGTCTCTCTTTAACTATCAATTGTTCCAAAGTTCACTGTAAGAAATACGGTTGTAATATTTTCTGGTAATAAATGTTTTCAACAGTTTTGCAATTTAAGAAAAATATTATGTGAGTATAGGGAATATTCAGCATGTTAGTGGTAGTGTGAGTGAGAAGATTGGCGCATGGTTTCAACTGTCGTGGATTTCTGTGGCAGCTGAAAACTCACTGGTTTACTAAGAATTTTCTTTGCTTATATAGGCGATCATCGGCTCCGAAAGCGCTGCGCGATAAGAATCACTCTTTACGTACAAAAACGTACAATCTGATTGGTTGGCATTGACCAATCAGCGAGCGAGCTTTGGGAAGAGTCACGAAAATATAGCGATTATAAAATTGTCGCATTACACAGTAGTGTTGCTTTATTATCCAATGAATGCTTGTAGTTGTATAATTTGCACACGTATGTATGTATGTATGTATGTATGTATGTATGTGTGTGTGTGATGATGGTGATCGTCACAATACTCCACTCCCACCTCGAGATTAAAGAAATTATAACAAAATTCTTTAATATGTCACGTAAGAGCAATACTTAGAAAGCCAATGCACCCTCTTACCTGTTTTGGTAAACAGTGGTTCTGAATGTGAAGTGGACTGCTGACTTTGGTTTGACGATGATGATGATGCTGGTTGCTGCGAAATGTTGGGTTGCTGTCGATCCGGATGGAGTTGTTTGGCGGCTTGCTTAAGATATTCCGGCTTCAAACGGTTGACAGAAATGGTCGACCGGCCGTTGTGTATCTGAATGGTAAAATACTTTGGTTGTCGTGAAAGTACTTTAAAAGCTCCTGAGGGGTTAGCGGTTTTTTTTACTGTGTCTTGTCTAACAAAGACGTAGTCGCAGTCTTGTAAAGATTTGAGAAAATAAATCTCCTTAGGGTGTACTCGTGTAGGAGTGAATGATAGTTCAGCCATTCTGTTTTGAAGGTACTGTATAAAGGTAGAAGTTGGTTCTATAGTAGTGTTTCTGTCTAGAAATTGACCTGGTAACGTGATCGATGTACCAAAAACAAGATCTGCAGGAGTGCACTGAAGATCTTCCTTCAGTAGGGTTCGTAATAACTAATGGTAATTTCTCCAACCAAGTTTGGGCAGTGTCGGAACTTGTTAATGCGGCTTTAAGTTGACGGTGGAACCTCTCGACAAGTCCATTTGCACAAGGGTGATATGCAGTTGTCGAGATGTGAGTAGCTCCAAACAAGTTCACGAATTCCTTGAATAAAGTTGACTGGAACTGTGAACCCACGGTCTGTCGACATGACCGAAGGGCAGCCGAAAATGGAAATCCATTTCCGCAATATTGCCTTAGCAACAGATTCTGTCGTGGTGGACTGAAGGAGTATACCTGTCAATTATCGTTAAGATGTATTGATAGCCGTGAATTTCGGATAATGGATCCACCAGGTCCGCATGAAGATGCTGAAAGCGGCCATCATGTTCTGCGAAGAGTCCTGGGGGTGATTTAACATGTCGATGTATCTTAGTTCACTGGCATCTGACACAAGTCTGAGTCCAGCGTTTAATGTCGGAACACATTCTAGGCCATACGAAACGTTCACCGATTAACTTTGTTGCAATCCGCCGTCCAGGATGCGATAGTGAATGGAAGTGGTCGAATATCTGTCTTCTCATGGAAGAAGGAACCAAAGGTCGGGGGTGACCTGTACTGGTGTCACATAAGAATTGCCTACTGCTGAAGGGCACGGGACGTGGCTCAATCCGTAATGATGTATCTGCCTTTACATCTGTATAAATAGCTAATAGCACACGCGAAAAAGTGCTGTATTTTTGGGGAGGAGGAGTAAGTTTCACAGAGAAAAATGAAAGTGGCTTAGTTACCGCGCCTGTATGCTGATGTAATACCTCCGATTGCTTCTGAAGAAACGTTGGTCGTAAGAGATAAGTGTGTTTTATCGTCTTCTTGAAGATAAGTAAATTTGGCAAAATTCGCTAGGGTGTCCTTAGCTTGATTGAATGCAGCGAGAGTTTCACCGTTGAGTGTAATTTTGGCGTTACGTTTCCCCTGTTTACGGAGTTGATTTGTCCGGGGTGCCAGCATGTGTGAACATTTAGGGATAAACTGATGATAGTAATTGATTAATCCTAAGAATTGTCGGCAGTGGAAAATCCTGTACTGCTTTTATTTTATCGGCGACGGATGTAATGCCAGTACCGTTCTCATGTCCGAGAAAAACTAGCCTGGGTACTGCGAATACACATTTATCAGGGTTAATTTTAAGACCAAAGTGGTTGAGTCGCTCGAAAACTTGAGTTACATGATCTATGTGTTCGTTCATGTCTTTGCTAGCTATAGATGTAGGCGAACGTTTGTGGTAATCTGCGAAGGGCTTCATCCATTAGCCGCTGGAAAAATTGTGCAGCGTTCCGTAGTCCAAAGGGCATTCGCAAAAACTCGTACAAACCGAAAGGTGGAGTTATTGCAGTTTTATGAATGTCTTCAGGAGCTACCGGAATTTGGTAAAATGCTTTCCGTAGGTCAAGCTTCGTAAATATCTGAACACCTTGAAGCGTTACTGCAAAGTCTGCTAGGTTTGGTACAGGGTATTTATCCGGCACAGTCTGTGCGTTAAGACGTCGAAAATCTCCACAGGGTCTCCAGGCTCCTGATTATGTCTAGGAGTGGGGAAGCGAAGGGGCTGGATGACGGTCGTATGATGCCGTGGTTAACATGTGTTGAAATTCAGCCTACGCTAGTTTGTTCTTCCCCGGGTTTAGTCTGCGAGGTGATGAAAAACGGGAGGTCCGGATGTCTGAATCCTATGTACAGTGTTGTGTTTGACGGTCCGTATAAGTGTAAGAGCAGGGAATTTATCTAAGACGTGCTGTAGCTGGTTGTTTTCAGGAAGTGAGGCACAGATCTTCGTGGATGTATAAGTGAAAATCATGCCTGTAAGTGTTAGTTGCGTCGTCTGGTCGATTAGGGTGTGGTTACACATGTCCACGGTGAGCTTGTAACTCGGCTCCGAGGATAGTAAATTTCACTTGTGCGACGGTAAACAACCACGGAAATGATCGTAATAACCGATGTTGAGTGTGAGAGAGATTTGACCATATGTCTCAATCTTGGTACCGTTTGCTGCACGCAGGGTATATGCTGATTCGCATGTTGTGGTGTTAGCTCTGGATGGGACTACACTGACCTGGTCTCCAATGTCCACCAAAAATAACTCGCCTGAGTTAGTATCCTTAACAAAGAAAAGACGGTAAACTCGATTTCGCCCAACAGCAGACGCCGTCTTCATGCGCTGTTTGGATCACCTTTTCCTGCTTGGTTTTTAGTAGTAGATGTTGGTTGACCGTTGAAATGGCAAGGTTTTGCACAATGTCTCGCTGCTTGTCCAAACTTTTGGTGGTACCAGAAAATTCCAGTGTTTGGTTTACTCCTAGTGTTCGAGTTAGTTCTGCTATGGTGTCGAGACTTGTATGCGTTGTATGCTGGACGCGAACGCACTCTACTCAGTCGCTACAGTTGCGTGGACAATTTGTCAATCTGCTGCTGCATTTTCTTTAGTGTATCGTTACGTGGTGTGCTGTCCGCCGAGGAAATATGAGTGCTGTTAAGAGTCCTTATCTCCACGATTCTATCGGCTATTGCAGCCGCTCGTAGTAGTGTTGGGGACGTGCAGAATTTATTAATTATGCTTGAAAGAATCAGAAGGAATTTGTGTAGGTTGCGTGACTTTCTGCATCCACAACAAATAAATAAACGAAATTTAAAATACGATTAAGAACGAGACATATTCAATTAGAAATTAATATGACATTTATATACAATTCAAAAACAGTATACAAACAGGATAATTGATATATGTTATGATTGCGAAATGTGTATGAGGTTTTTTTGATTTCAGAATGTCTCTCTTTGTAATTGTTCGTTCATTTACAGTCTTTTTAAGTTTGTGTTGATATTAATAATTGTCGATATTAAGTGTCTTTTTTTAGAAGGAGTTTTTAAGAGTGATCTACCTTTAACTGTAATGTAATGTTTTTTTAAGGTCGTTCGCACGTTGATGTTTACTTATTAGGTAGCGAATATAATTCACTTTAGATAAGCAATGTTGAGAATTGATATCCACAGAGTTGATTAAGTTTTCGATCGGGAATGAGTCAGCGATGATGTAACTTTGCGCGGAAAATCGTGATTTAGAGTGACGTGGAGTATTTTGGCAAGTTTTCTGTGGGTGTTTGTTACTGACTGCCTGGGGCGGTCAGCGATTATTTTTATAAGACCTGAAAGTCCGAAGGTGGCTCACTTGAGTTTTGGCGCAATTTCGTTCTGCACGTGAACTTTCAGTGATGAACCAATGAGATTGTTTGTTTCGCTTAGTGCAGTTTTAATTGGTTGAAGTTTTCCGTACGTAGGCGTAAGATATAGACTGTTCTGTTGCTAGGGTTGAAAGGTAAGGAAAAAAGGACGAGTCTACAGTAGGTCCAAGTCCTCAGGAAGTCTTGCCAAAATCTGCGCGGTGTGGGTCGGCATCTTGTCCAGCCAGAGATTCCCTAGAAAAGCCTCTGACATGGTGTTGTTACCTAGAAGGTTTTTCATCTTCCGAAGTAGTTTTGTTGATTTGTTCTTGTCGAGTTGAAGCGTGTTGAACAGGTCGTTGATTCGTCGTTCCTCTGACTTTCCGGTCCTGTATATAATGGTTTCTTTCAGAACGTCAAATGGGTTCTCTGATGGGACGTTATCTAACAAATCGGAAACTTCCGATGCGATGTCGGGTGGTAGTTTCTCGACTACATAAGCGAAACGAACATTCTGTGACTGGATTCACTTGGCCTGAAATATTGCGCTCCGTTGCGAGAACCAAACGTGAACATTCGTCGTGTTGAAGACGGGAAGGTTGACCAGGACTGCAACTCCGTCACTGTCTGGGACTGCCATGTTGAGTCGCGTGAATATTCGCACGTGGTGAAGAAAAAAGATTTTGCGCGCCAAGTAGATATGGTGATTCCGAGATGTTTTTCACGATTCTCGAATGAGGTAACAGTGAAGTTTTGGTGCCTTCTTTTGCAGGACAAATACAAGCCAACTAATCTTTATGTGCACTTTGATAAAATACCACTGAAATGCGGTCCTTTCAGATTACGTCAGCCTTTCCTAATCACGTCGGCGGTCACCAATGAAATGTGGCCGCCTTCCAGATCACGTCGGGGTCACCAATGAAATGTGGCGGACTTCAAATTCGCAAAAAGATTTGATCATCAAACATTAGAAGGAAGGCGAAAGCTATAGGAAAATAGTAGAAATCCGGAGTATACCATTTACTATAGTTCCGTTATTGCTAAGGATAAAAAGGTGAAAACTGTTGAGAACAACTCGAGATCTGGTGCACCACTTAAGATTTTCTTCCAGATCAATGGGAAGAAGTCACGACAAAATTCAAGAAGATCCAATGACTATCCGGAGAGAAATGCAGGAAAAGCATCAAGGAAAAGCATCAAGTTTTATTGTTACGAAGCGAACAATAAGCAATGAGCCTCATAGAAGTCAACTAAGATCGCATTCTCCATGAAAAATTCCACTACTATTGAAGAAACACAGAGATGCCCGGTTAAAATTTGTTCGTGGTCATAAGAATAAAAACTGAATCATTTTGGGAAAGATGAAGCAAAAATTAAACTATTTGGATGTAATTCAAGGACTCACATTTAGAGAGAAGACGGCACAGCCTTTGCACGAAGAACACAATCCCAACGGTGAAATTTGGTGGTGGCAACATCATGTTTTTCTGCTAATGGTACAGGTAATTTAGAGATAATAGATAGTAGAATGAATTCAAAAATATACCAAAATGTTCTGGGCTCTAATTTTTTTGAGTCAGTAATAAAGCTTGGACTCCCAAATGAATGGTTTTTGCAACAAGATAATGACCCGAAACATGCAGTTTAAATCTTGTAGTAATAAAGTACGGTGGAGTAATGGACCGACTGCCAAATATGTCTCTTTGATGGGCTTTTCAGTCCTTTCGTAGACACAGATCTTCTCCAATTCCTATTTCGCTTCTTTAGGCGGGGGTGGGTGCTATATGGGTAAAAAATTGGATTGTATGTTTTTTTAAGGGGGGTGAGGAAAGTGGAAGTTGTGTGCGGAGACATCGGAATTTTAGTCGAAGCTTCTGTGATCCACTTGGCGTTTAGTTTGCACAAAATATGTTGTCAAGAGAAATATTACATGAAAAATGAATTGAAGTATTTAACAACCAATAGAATTCACTGAGTCAAAGTAATATAATTAGGTAGTTGAATACTAAAAAAATACCATTCATTCTATAAGCACACATAAAGAACAGAACAAACTTACAGCGTAAAAGTACAATTTTTGTAGAAAAACATTCATTTGAAACATGATCGAATATTCTATTCAGAATGAATCCTGAAAAGAAAATAACATTTTTTTTAGTAAAAAAAAACATCTTATACACTTGAGACAAATAAAAAAAAAAATGAATCACAATCAAGTAACTCCCTGCAGCAGAAGAAATCCAAAAATAATTCTGTTTTTGTATGTCCGTATCCAAGACAGCACCCCATTGTACAAAACGTCCCAATGTCTGCTGCAAAGAGTGAGAAATCCAGGTATTAATTAATTTATAGCGCTTCGGCTTATGCACATAAGACGATGTGTCATATATTTACAATTTTGCCAAAATAAAAAAAAAAAACCTTTAGTTTTTTAACTCATTATCTAGGCGCTTCGTCGTAGTGAATTCGATCATCACTGGGTGCTGCAAAATTGCGGCCTTGTACCATATTTAAGCTATGCATAGTAAATAACTAACTCATTAATTATATAGAATTTCCTTTTAGTTTTATTGTTATGACATTTACTACACAAAATTAAAAAAAAGCAGTTTCGTTGTGAATTGAATTCATAATTCAACATTCCATTTCAATTCAATTCATTGAAAAAACAAAAATGTTCATTTTCCGAACAAAATCAACTGAAAACTCAGCTTATTCTTATTAATTCTTTTAATCTTTTACCTAGCTTCAACATCTATAGAAGTCAAATAACATTCATTTTTTTATTTGTAATAATTTATCTATACCAAACTGATTGTGTGATTAAAAAAAGTTCCGTGTTTTTCTTGTGTCAAAATTTATGACACGTCAATGTTAGGCACAACTACCCGATAAGCGAAAGGAAAAAAAAAGCCTCACGTTTTAGTCACTTAGTCTTTTTCCTTGTCCAGGTTGGATTTTATTTACTGCAAAAATGTAAGTAAATTGAATGTTGAATTTGTAAAAACAAAGCAAAAAACACTGAAGTATATTACTGCCGATTATAGTTATGGCAAATAATTATCATTTTTGCTAAAAATGCAAATACTTTTTATATTCACGAAGACCATTAATGCGTGTTTAGAAGCAAAATACTCATTTTAAACGAAAGGACAGTTTCTTTGACTTTTTGTAATTATCTCATTGTTTTTAGAAATGTGGTTTAATTTTAAAATTAAAAATCATAATTATTTTTGATCTTGTGCCAAAAGCTAAGTTTAGTTTAGTTATTAGTAAATGGCAAACTACCACTGTATATTAATTTTTTTAATGTTTGTCAAAAGTCAAAACAATTTTCTTTTCTTTTTAGCTATTTTTATGCTTGCAAAAATTAATTCCAGAATGAAAAAACAAAATTTGTAATTGGTTTCGACAAAATAGTTTGTAAACGACATACACATATTGTTATGGTTAGCTTATTTTTCATTTTTATTTTAAAGTTTTAGTTTTTTTAGTGATAAGTAATAAAAAGAAGCATATTTTGCTTAGCTTATGGTTAAAATAAAAATGAACTTCACTTTTGTGATTTTTTTGTGTTCCATCAAAAGTCAAAACAAATGACCTTACTTAAAGTCTCTCTTTCCATATTTTTTTCTTTGGTTTATTTAATTAACCAAAGAAAAAGTTACCATTTCCTCTTTGAAAAGGAAAACGGTGATTTTATTCTAGTAGCAGCGAAAATACATACATTTATTATGCATGCATTTTTCAGTGGTGGAATCTCCGTATGTATTTTTTTCAAGTTTTACTTACTCGAAACCTCATCATAATTCAAATTGTATTTTATTTTTGAATTTTTATGTTTACATTTCTGCCTTGACTTATTTTATTATTTTTTTTATTGGATTTAACAACTTCTTTCCCCTCTTGTTACCAGCCCCCCCAAAATCGTCAAACTGATCCATAGTTTGTCTGGAAATTATTAGTTAATTTTCCGAACTCATTATTGTTTGTTTGTTTGTTTTTTTTTTGTTTTTTTTTAAATCAAGAAAACTAAAATAAAAAAGGTTAGAAAAGCAGGGATCAGGATTTTTAAGTTATTCAATATAAAATGGTCATTTTAAAAAAATACAAAGTATAATGTTTTTGAAAATTTATGATAGAATTTGAATAAACAAAATAAGAAAAAACAAAACTTAGAAAAATCATGTTTTTTTTAAAATTATATTTTGAAAAATAGAATGGAAAATATTTAATTTAGGAGGTGACTCACTCTTGCTTGTTGATTTCAGCACTGGAATATACATTTTTTATATTGTAAAAAAAAAAAATGATTTATTTTATGTCAAATGCTAATATTTTTACTTTTGCACTTCTTACAGTGTTTGTATCTGTCATGAAATCTGTTTATCATTTTTATGAAATGAACAGAAAAATATAATCATGATGAAGGGAATTAAATCCCATCGTAAATTAATGAAGGCCAGTGTATTGGAAGGATCAACTGTCATCATGCGACAAGCACAACCCAAATATAATTTTCAGATATCTTCCAAATCGAAAAAGGAAACAAATGGTCGAAAATCTGCTCCTGTTGCCAACTGCAGTTCCCAGTATGAACAAGGCATGGATTTATCTGTGATGTCCAATAGAGTCCATCCGTCCACATCAACTGCAACTCATTTGTCATCTGTATCCAGTCCTCCGCCCATTTATGCCAAAGACCTCAGATGTTCGAATGAAATACATACTGACCAACAAAACACAAATAATCATCAGGCACATGTAAGTTTTTCTCCCATTTCTTTCTTTTTCCTCTGGAAAATGTATTTTAAGCATTTTAGTTCTGAAAAATTTCTTCCTTTTTATTATATTTTGAATTGCATTATTAAAAACTTACATTTTGCACCTCATAAAATTATTTTAGAAAAAAGTTTACAATATTTTATTAAAAACAAAACGAAAACATTAATGTTAATCAGTTAAAATTACATGTTACAAAAAATGCTTTCTCAGAAAAGAAAAAAAAATACTGCTAACTGAACAAAAATGTTACTGCAATAATCTTTTCTTTTTAATTTTAAATGTTTGTTGGAAAAATGTTGTTTTCAAAAAGTTCTTCATTTCCTCATTAAACCAGAAATTACATTTCTTCAACAATTTTAAAATAAAATTATAATTAGACAGAGTAAAAATTTTATCAGAAATAAAAAAATTCAATGATTATTTAACTGAATGGAAAATGTTCTGTATGAAAGAATTCACAAATGTACAAAAGAATATTTCTTAGTTAAAATTATTATGAAAATATTTTATACATTGTTTGATATTATTTGAGGGAAGAAATTACCACACTTAAACACACCAAAAGCTTGTATTTTTATGATATAATGCTGTGTTATGTGTACAAAGGAGAAAATTAATATTCATGCAGAGTAATAAATATTAAAAAAAAAAACTTTCAGGTTGCAACTTTTCAAATAAGCCATAAAATGCATGATGAAGATGAACCTCCATGAATTTATACCTTATTAATAAAATCACCTATAGAAATTAGTGCAGTATTTATTTCATTCATTTATTTTTCTTTGTACTTCTGATTGCTATCAACCTCAACTGGTTGAGCCTGTGAAGGTGCTTTTTTTTGTTACAGAGATAACTGTGGAATATCATTCAGAGAGAAATCTCTAGTATCATTTGCTTATTTTCTTTCATCTTCTTATATCAATAAAAAAAACAATTTAACAATTTATTTTAAAAAGTGTATACTAATATGATGGTGACTACAATAAAAAGTGTTCTTTTTGAATGAAGTTATTTAAAACACACCCATCATCTAATGATAAAAACTTTTTGTTTTAACTTATGAGAACAGGAACTCAAAATAGAAAGAGGAGTGATATATATCTGAGACTTCTATTAAGTTTCTTGAAGATTTTGCTTATAAATTGAAAGGTTTCAGTTTTTTTCAATTTTAATTACATTCTATGTTCTAAGATGAAAAATGCCATTCTTTTTAGTAACATTATAGCTTCATTTGAGCTAAATTTTTGTATTGTGACTGTTTAAATTAATTATGTTGTGCCTACTCAATATCAAACTTTATACTCTTGTAAAGATATAAGTTTTATTGTCAATGATACCAAGTCTGTATACATACTCTAAGGATTAATACTTTTCTTAGGTATAGAAGATCTTCATGTACAAAGTAGGATTTTAATCCAGTGCTTCTTGAAAACAGGTGCTGTGCTATTATATAAATTAACCACAACTGACACGTGCATTTTGACAAATATTCTCCCAAGCTGAAAAATGATTTTAAGATAGCAATTTTTTCTTCTTTTATTTTATCTTTTTTTTCCTCATAATACTGATTATGAATTAGAATTAATCATAAATCAAAATTTGATCCTTATGATCAAATTTTGATTGATTTGCTAATCTTGATTGAAGCATATTTAGTAAATTAGTAGAAATGTTATCCATGGTGATATTTCTGCTATTTTTGATCATTTAGTATTCATAGATTAATAAGAGTTTGTGCTACTTTGACTTTATGAATGTAATGAGAAAAAAATGGAATGCATAGGTTACATTAGTCTGAGAATAGTTCTACGGTATCTTTTTATATTTGTGTATTCCTTCCTTTTCTTAAATAAACCACATCAGCACATGAAAACTTGCCACTTTGGCACATATTTGTTTAACTGTTTTATTTGTAAAATCAGTTTTTACATGAGGTATTGTAGTAATTGTATTTAATGTATTTGAACTAATTTCCTCATATTTATTGTTTTTATCATATTTTTTATGCTATAAAATTTCAACATATTTCTGAGATACATCAAAAGGAAGCTGATATAGCTAAGAGATCATTGTTTCCTGTAATGGAACATTTTAAGCACAATAATATTTAACCCAACCACCTGGCTAAGATACTTTGACCTAATAAGGATGTGAAAGTGAATTTGGACTATGTGAAGTATATGAGTACCATCAGAATCTGATATTAATTGCACATTTGATTTTAACTTTGATTCTAATCATCCATACAGTACAAACAAAGAGTAAAACAAGGTACCTCCACAAGATCACTAAAAAAAGAGCATAGCATGAAGAAAAAGATGCCAAACTTGATGAAAACAAAATTTTATCATCTAAATGTTTGTTATTATTAAGAGGAAAGAGCAAAGTATTTGGGGGGAATTTATTACATTTTTTAATCGTTCCTAGCACATCCGAAATTTTTGTTAAAAATCTTGTTTTTTTTTGAGTCAGCAAAATTGACCATTTTTTTCCATTTTATAAAAAAACTGAAAATCTCCCTTTGAAATTCTTTTAAATATCAATTATCATTTTTTCAAAACTTATTTTAAGAAAATCAGAAATTATAATGTTTATTTAAAATATTTTGAACCAAGCTTAACTTAGCTTCTGCACCGAAAAGATGTAATTTGAAAATAAAACAAAGCAGGTCATAAACTTTCGCGTCACTTGACAGGTGATGAATGACATATTGACGGATTCCGTGAGGATAATTTGTTCTATGGAAGGAGAAAAGTGAAATTATTTATATTTAAGTGAACAAATTATTTACCTTGTTATTTTTAAGGAAAACTTTAATTTTTTTTCTTTTTTGTACTTAGCTTTCACCTTTACGTTTATGATGCTTTATGGAAAATATATTATAAAGAAATTAAAATAAGACTGTTAAGAGCGAGATTAAATTACATATTTCATAAGAAAGGCATCTAATTAATTTATAGGTACATTTCTTATAAAATTTTTTTTTATTTATCAGACGTGTACATAAAATACTATAATTTTATGTACATTTATTACATTTTACTGTGTTATTTGTATTTCCATTCATTTTATTATTAATTTTGATATTTCATTTATGGAAAAATGTCATAACTGAGATTAATATAAAAATAAGATCATATAAATTTCATAAGATGATACTGATACTTGTAGGTACTCAGTTGAAATTGAAAAATCAAATTAACTTCTCCACATATGTTTTGCAAAAGTAAAGGTCTTAACAGTGGAGAACAATGCTTAATTCAAATAACGCAACTTAATTGTATTCTAGTTGGTCTTCCGTACTTTATAATTACAGCCTGATTATAAACACAAAATTATATTTCTTAATTACTGCGGGTTTTCTGATTAGTCAAAATGATACAATTTATAACGCGCTAAAAAAAAGATCTATCTCATAAAGAGACTTAGGAAACCCGATGCGGCTTTTAACTAATTTTAAAATATTTTAACAACTTAAATGTAAAAATCTATTATAATTAAAAAATAACAAATAATTGTATTAAAAATTCAGTTTTCATTGAAAAAATTTTTTGCTTTCAGAAAATATTGTCCATATTCATTAAAACAACTAAAAGCAAATAAAAGCATTTGAAATTAAATAATATCTTTGTTTTATTGAGTTTTGTATGTTACAATTCAGAGTTGATTTTCAGGTATGGGGTTCCAATTAAAAACAAAAAAAAAACATGATTTGCATTCCTCTAAGCCTTGTGCTTTTAACTATTGTATCACTAAACCTGACGTGATCGAATTTCTAGTGTTTTCATAAAATTAGTTATGGGGGGAGGTAATAAATATTAAAAAAAATATTTCTGCTATGACTTTAATAAAAAAAAAAACATATTTATAATAATTTTGATCATCTGTGAATAGTTTCTGAACGTTTCATTAACATCTGACAATTATTTTTTATTTTTGCAAGATTTTCCAAATTAATGTGTGTCACACAAAAAAACTGTGCTAAAAATTGTATATGTTATTTTACTAGTTCCGGTGATACAAAGAGAAACAAGGTTTTTTTAATCAAAATTTAGAATGTTCTAAAAAGAAGGAAAAATTTTGAAAAAATAATTAAAATAAACTTGATCTTTCCTCTTAATAATAATATAAACATTTAGATGATAAAATTTTGTTTTCATCAAATTTGACATCTTTTTCATCATGCTATGCTATTTTTTTAGCAATCTCATGGCAGTACTTAAGTCAAACTCATGTTGCCACCCACCAAACATCTACCAATCAAAGATTAACAGTATAAAAGACAATTTCTAACAAAACAATCACTGTGCAGATAAGTAGAAATTTTCATCAGGTAAACTATGAAAACAAAAAAATAACTGCTTATAGTAACTCTACCATGCAGTAGAAACATGGTGGAGGAGATTCTGAGAATGTACATTCTGTACAATATCAGGACAGTTTTTGAAAGTAGTTTAATTTTATACAGATGCATCATCAAAGTAAAAAAAAAAAAAAAAAACTCTACTGGAAGAAAACCTGACCAAAAACTGCATATACAATACTGCAAGCAGTTGTGACAGGAGTACAAGAGTTAGACCCTGACCATGTGTATTATGAAAGAAGAGTGAGATTCATCAACCTCTAAGATAGTTGAAGAATTAACATACATACTCTGTTCAAATAATTCAATTTATAAGCCAAATGTAGATATCATTAAAATGGGAGCCTGTGATCAGTAAAGAACATATGAGAAACTTGTAGTTCCAAAAACATAACCCTAAAATGAGTGTTGGTGAAAATTCACCTCATTTACTGGAAGTTCATGGGTCAGTTAAGAGAAGACAGTTCCAAGAGCTAACAGTTAGGAAATATGTGTATGTAAGGGGAAGCAAATCTCCATTTTGAATAAGGTTAACCATTTCTAAATGCTTGAGTTGTGATAAAAAAATAAGAGATGTGGAAATTAGTCGAAATGAATCAGAATCTGCTCAATGTTTTTTTAATTGGTTCATTATACTAAAATACATTAAGATTTTTGTAATGCATTTTCTTGTAGTAAAAGTTTTACTATTATACTTGACATTCATGATAAAATGGAATGGCATAATCATGCAAACAGCTATCAAGTATATATTAAGAATGAGAAAAAATTGTTTTACTCTAATCTGAAGCAATAAGACAAATCAGTAACACACACACAAAAAAAAAATAAACAGATATCAGTGTTGTTTTTTAGTAAAAAATAAATCATTTAAATTTTTTAACTCAGTTTGTTAATAGACACAACTTCTTTTCATGCTCTTACATCCATTTACACATTTTAGATTTAGAATGTTTAAATGGCTACATTGTTATTTATCTGTTTTTAGAGAACACCAAAACCTGTCAATGTTGTTGATCCATTAATGACTACTGGTGTAGATCTATCTACTGGAGGAAGCAGCAACTGCAACAATAGTGTCAATGGTACTGGACTTGGAGACCAAGTTTCCTCCAACACTGTGATAAATACCCTTACTTCCCATTTAGATTTTATTAATGGACCAAAATGCTGGCGAGATTCTTGTGATACAGAAAAGAAAAACCTACAAAATGAGATTGATTCCCTGAAGTCTCAACTTGATGTCCAATTTCAGGTGAGTGTATTAGTATGTACACCCAAACCATTTTCTTTTTAATAAAAAATTTTCTTCCAAAGCAAACTAGGATTTTGTTATTTTCAATGGAACATTATGCTATCAAAAGATATTATTAGGTATAGTTGATTACCAAACTATACAGCATTGAAATTCTGGAGGCAAAAATATGAATATGTAGCAGTTCGAAAAAAAGTTATTTTAAATCAATATTTGATGTGATCACCTTTTATTTTTTTTTTTTATAATTGTATATTGATCTTATTAGTCACTGGAATATTTTTCACTCCAACAATTCTTTCTTGTTAGATGGTCATCATTTTTATACTTTCCATTCCACAAGTGTTCAGTTGGATTTAAATCTAGTAATATGCCAGGCCAATCAAACATTTTTACCTTTTGTTTATTCAGAAACTCTGTTTTCTACTTGTTTGGATCATTTTCATACTGGAACCTAGCTCTTCTTCCCAAGTGAACTCAGCATTTCAATATTTTTATATAATCTTCAGCATTCATGACTTTGCCAGTGAGATGCACCAGTGCCATTAAAATTTATGCAACCATTATGCTTTACTGCCAAGATCTAACACTTTTTCCTTATATATGATGATGCTGAACTTGTCAAACCTAATTAGGCTGATTTTTGTTTGTTTCATATGATCATGGTATGCTGTCACAAAACTTGGCATTTTTATCTTTATTCTCTTGTGTAAGCTTTAAACAAACCTTTTTCCTTATATGGTTGTCGGCCATATAAACTTAGTTTGCCCAGGGAATATTTGATTGTTATAATCAAAACATTCACAGCGCACACTTATTTTGTTATACTTTCTAAACATGTGCATCAATTTTTTGGGGCCTTCATCCACCAATCTTCTGATAGACTTTCAGGATCAGCTTGGATGGTCAAGCTGGTCATTTCTGTACACCTCTGATTTTCCATTTTCTTTTTCAGTAGTATTTTTTCCTTAAGGTCAGTTTAGTAAGCTTTTTTTGTTCACTCTTGTTTTGATTCTGCAAATAATACATTTCTTAAAATTAAAAGAGAATTCTTTTTTACTTGGAGCCATTTTTTAAATAAGTCTATTCACTGAAAACTGCCTTTGTAAAAAATATTTTAACATTGCATAATCTATTTATAATTAAATTTACAAGAAAAAAAAATTCTTTTGAAAATGTATTTGCTATATAGAATGATTAAAATACTTTTGAAGAGTGTATTTATGTTTATTAGCTCTGTGCATGAAGTGTTATCTGTACATCATAATTGTTACAATGATCACAAAATGCATAAATTATATTTGCTTTAGGTAATTTTGAATTATTCTTTTATGAATTTCAAAATAGTTAATCTTTTGTATTATTTTTGTTATCTGAATTCTACAATAAAAAGTCATTTTATATTCTACAACTGTTATGTAGTATGGATAGAAAAATAAATAAGCACTCACAAGATTTCAAATCCATGCTGCTTTCTTGAAAAGACTGGAGAACTGCAACAAATAAGTTCAAAGAAAATCAAGCAACATATGACTATATTTTCAATGTGTGAATTTTCGTTTTTTTTTTTTTTTTTTTCAATATTTTGTTTGTTTTATTATAGATCTCCACATATTGATGCTACATGGTTTATTGTTGGTGTTTTGGCTTTTAAAACTTTTTAGGTGCCAAATCTTTTTTACTTTTCTGAAGTTTTTATGCATTGTTGCATTCACTCTCTCAAGTTATCAGCAAGAAATTAGCTGTTTCATATTTTCAATGTATTTTCTTTTTTAATTATTTGTTTTACTAATTTTCAGGTAAATAGTGAACTAAAAAAGTTACTTGTTGCTTCTGTTGGAGAAGATTTGCAGTATCGCGTGGAAAAATTAATGAGGTATGATGAGTTCCTCCCCCTTGCCAATCTTTCAAATGTTTTTTTAGTTTCACCTGAGTAGTTTATTAACATCTTTTCTTTAAAACTTACTTTTCATTTTTTTATATAATCTAATATTTTTCTTGAATTATCAATCATCTCAACGAATAAGAAAATGATCATTTATTTATTATAGGATATTAGTCTTCTATATTAGACGTTTTTTTCTTTGCAGAGATAAAGTGCAACTGTCAATGGAAGTTGGAGGTTATTCAAAAAAAGTATCAGAAGATTATGAAAATTTGGATAAATTGTCCATTCAAGCAGATATTTGGAGAAGCAAATTTATGGCTAGTCGGTGAGTACATTTTTTTTCTGAAATCTACCAGAGCTTAAAATATCTCCATCTTTCTAAAAAAAATAGTACCAAGAAATAACCAAATGGATTTGTATGTAGTTTTAATTGAAAATGTGAATTATCTTTCATGTTTCTAAGTCACTCTTGGCCAAGTTTAGCAGTTCAGAATTTAAGTAATAAAAAAATTGGACATTTATTAAAATTTTAAAATTTGCTTTAACAATTTTTTGTTATAATTAAAATTGTGTATTAAACCTACATTCATACATCCATTTAATGTAAACCATCCAAATTTAAATACAATAAAAATGCATATACTTTATCAATTATAATCCATTAGCCTGTCAGAGTTCATACATTATGTTTAGTTTGTGTGTTTTATTTTTATACATTTTTGGTTATAATTGATAAAACTATATGTTATACTAGAGACCATAAAGAAATGTTAACAGTGTCTCTCTCTCTTCCTCTCTCTTTATTTTTTCAAAAAACTTTTGGTAGACTATTACCAGCTCTATCCAGGGGTTTTAAGTTCAAATTCTGAGAAAGGATGCTAGGCAAACAAGATTAAGTATTTTATAATATTTCTAACTCATTGAAAGTTACCAGGTATGGCATATTTCTCAGAACATATCACATTTAGTCAAAATATTAGTTAATTGTTAGGCCTAAAATGATTTGGAAGAATGTTTTTGGTTTTTGTCAATGTCTTTTAAAATGCAATTTTATTTGTTTCTTTTGTCTTTTAGAGTTCTGATTGATGAATTGGCTAAAGGTCGGGCTGTTCTTTCTTCTCAGTACCAAGAATCTCAGGATGCAATTCAACGTCTTCTTAATGAGCGCCATGAACTCCAATCACATCTTACAGAATCATACAGGTGTGTTTTACCAAGTGTTGGTAATAGATCAACACAAAACAAAATACTTTTTTCAGAATCCCTTTATTATCTTTGGCTATTTGCATTTTACATTGCAGTTTTAACATTTAGTCATCATACTTTCAACTAATGAACATTTTTTGTTCTATTTTTAACAAAACTATTCATTTATAAATTTATGCTACCTATTTTTTTTTTTTTTTTTTTAAATTTGTATGACTTATTCTCTTTTGATCTTATTATTCATGTTGAATTGCTCTTATACAATTTGAAAAATAATTTTTCAAATATTTTAATGATGACTTGTAAATGTTTTAGTGAAAACTTGTTTGAATTCAATGAAAGTGAATTTTCTAATTTTTAACTTCAAAAGATTTAATTTATGAAAATTTAATTTTCCCTACCAGGTCTTTAAAACAAGTGAATGAAGCATTTGACCCACTTAATACTCAAAATCTGTTAGCATTACCTAATTCATCAAATGTGATAGAGTTGGTGAAAGTAATTCAGCAATCGTCTGAAGCAATCCGATTCCGTTTACTTCCTGGTGGCATTGCTGCAACTGGACACAACACAGCAATGCAGTCAACAACACATTATCCACCACAAAACAAACTTACACCTGCTGAGGCTCACGCACAAGATGTAAGTAGGTCCTTTTTTTTTCGATTCTATTTTTCTTACATTTTATTGCTTATTTCATATCTTACTTTTTTGTTTAGTATTAATTTTATTTTATAAATTTAAAAAAAATTTATTGGTTTAAAATAATCTCCAATAAATTATATTTTTTAATTTTTTAGCTAAAATTTTTATATTTTACTTACTTTTTATTATAAAATTTTTTAAAGTGTAAATAATTTTTTTTATTTATTTGAGAGCAAATGTTCACTAAGATTTAATTTTTAAGTGAAACAAAAATAAAATCTCCAAAATTAATTTAGATCAGGATGGCCAGCCTATAACACAGTACCAAAAGCAGCACATTGCATGATTAAATTTGGCAGTGACTTTTGCCAATCAGTTGTTTTATTCTTTTTGAATATATTTAGTTTTGTATTTTTCAAAAAAATTGTCTTTTTAAAAATTCAGTTTTTCATCAGAATACGAAAGAAAATCAGAAAATGATAAGACATGAATTCAGTAAAAAATAAGTAAATGAATTCTTGTAAGTTTTTCAGGAAAATTGTTGTGCATTGTTTGTGAAGATATTTTTGCATATAATAGCAGCCCTGATCTGAATAGACACTATAAAAGACTGAAATAGAAAGAAAACTAGTCTTTGGACCATGAGTTATGGAAAGAATACAACTTTAAAAAAAAAGTACATTTATTGAAAGATGCTGTGAAAGTGTTATGATCGAGGCAACCCAGAAGATTATTTTTTTCTCAGCCTGTGAATATCCTTTATTCAATGTTGGCCTCCCCAGATCATGGGGAGGAATGGGCTATTCCCATACTACACTGACCCAGTGTGTGTTAAAAGAGGCATATGTGACACACTTGGGTGATCATGTCTCTTTTCAATTCATGATCACCTAAGGGTATACATAAGTGAATGTAATAAACCTGACTGAAATTTGAACTCTATTCTCTGATTTTGCATTCTGAGCTGTTATCCATTACATCACCTGCACATCCAAGCTTACATAACTTGGTATTCCCAAGTGATCATGCATCTATGTAAGTGACCAGGCTCAATGTTGCTTAACTTCAGTGACTGGACAAGAACTTGCATTTCAACATGATCTGGCTGTAAACCACAAGATTATTTTAGCTTTGGTCAAAAAAAAAAAAAACAAAAACATTCCTAACTAAAAATAAAAACATTTAAGCATTGGTTAAAGACAAACAAACAAACCATAAGTGTTTTTAGTTTCAGGGGAAATTGCTCTACCTTGTTTCCAAATATTTGCAACATGTCTTGGTGATTAAAAATATCAAAAGTAAACTTTTCTGTCAAAACAGTTACAAGACATACTAAAGTGTTCACTTGTGCTATATACATCTGAATGACCTTGTAAATGCTTTTACTTTCTTTTTCTTGTGTATATCTGTTGACATCTCTGATAACCCAATTAAGCATTTTTATAATAGAAATTGAATTTTAACATCTCTGAAGGAGTTATTGGACTTGAATCGTTTCATGGAAGAACGAGACATATTTGACTAAGTAAAATCATGCCAAGAAAATATGTAAGTAGATTCTAGCATAAGTATTTGTACCTATGGAACATCATCAATGATAAGTAAAGATGTCAGAACTACAACTTTACTGGAAATATTTTTACATTGTTCTTTGCTAAATTATCATTATTATGCACCAAGAGTCACTATGTGAGAAAACTTAAAATTTGCAGCATATATTAACAGTTGTGAAATGAGTAAATGAAATAAGAATTAGAAGACTGAACAAACAAGAATTCAGAAAATATTGTGTAATGTTAGATTTAGAATATGGAGTGCACATCCTTCATTGAGATATATTGGCTTTCTAGAGAGCAAGTTTTGATTGGATTTTGGAAACTGAAAATGTTATAATTTTCTAGAAGAGAAAAATAAGCTGCATGTGTAAAGTGCCCCTTTTTATACCCATTTCTAATTCGATTTAGCATTTCAAGTTGAAATTTTTAGCTAGTGATTTAAAAGCAAGAACAAATCATTATCTAACTTAGTAACAAATACATAATTGAAACTTCATTTCCCAGTTGAATAATAATGATTTGAGTCAGTTAATGCATTGAGGATAACAGCAATTTTAAAAAATATACTGAAGATATCAGGTTATTGCAAAAGTCATTTGAAAGCATTTTCAAAGATTTTTTCTAAAGGAGGTTGCATTTATAAACCCATTTTAATTTTTTGAACAAAGATCCTGAAGATAGTAATAACATATAGACAGAACTTAGTGACTTTAGAACAAATTCATTATGATGAACTTCCCTCAATTCCAAATGTTTCTTCTGATATTATTAATTTTGAGTAATCATTACCCTGTAAACATTTTCCAGAACTATGAAAATTTGCTCAGAATTATGTCATTTTGAAATGAGGTACAAATGTGAACAAACTATTTTGATCCTGAAATTAATTAAAGTGAGATTACAGTTGAGTATCAAAATAATTCTGTGTTATTTTCAGTAATTAATTTAATTCTAAACATTAAAGTTTTGAAAAAAACCTAAACACTCAAATCTTATTAAGGGAAGTAATACCAATCTTGATTTTTTTTTTTTTTTTTTTTTTTTATATTAAATCAATTACGTAAAACTGCTAAATTTATGCAAGTATTTTTTACAAGATGGGAGTAAAAAATTTTTATAATAAATTTGAACTTGTGCATGGAAAAAATGTTTGATGCAGGGAATGTCAAAATTTGGTCAATCATTATATAAAGCTTCTAACAGAATCTCTATCAAATATTTCCAAATTTGAATTTTACAATTTGTACCTTTATGTAAATATAGAAATTTTGTTAATAAGGGTGATATTCTTTGGTACCTGAACTTCAAAAATTTAAGCACAGTACTAGATTGGCAGCTATTACTATTGAAATTACTAGATGTAAGTTCAATGTTAATAGTTTCTTCTCCTACACTTCTTGCTTGTGGAAGTCTCTTTTGGCTTCTTGCTTGTGGAAGTCTCTTTTGGCTTCTTGCTTTCCTGTCAACTATTATCTTCAAAAATTTAAATGCAATGTCAGTCATCATCTTCTTCATTCAACTTAAAAAAAAAAATAGGATTAAAAAAAAAAATCCTATTTTTTTATTGTCTTCCTCAATAACATTTTCTCATATCCTTTCACACTCAGTAACTCCTTGCATTTGTGTAGCTTTATTGCCTTGCTCAGGGGGAAATGATTAGAAAATGCTTTTAGGCTTTAGAGTTTTGCTAGGTAAAAGGATTGCTGTAGGTAGGGACTAGATGACCTTTATAGACATGGAATGATATATTTATGCATTTTATATAATGATTACCTGTAGTAAAAATAGTACAATGACTAAGAAAAAGAATTCTGATATTTTTCTTGTTGCATTCAATATATAAGCAGTGGACTTATTAATAATTACTTTGATCCTTGACAATGATAAATTTAAGATTTAATCATTCTGAAATGACCTAGACATATCCTGAGATACCAGAGACCAAGTTTTTCTCTTTGTCTAGAAATTGATATAAATTTTTCTTTTTCCTAAATCTACTAGTGCCGAGCATCAGTATTTTATTGTTTTTAGCCTCTAGGAAGCCAGCTATTTGTCTAGTGTAAATTGTAACTTAAACCAGAAAGTTGAATATTGTAGCAGAACTCAAATTCTCTTTGGCTGGCTTATATGAAAATTCTTGATTGCTGACTTAGTTTTTGTTGTTTAAATCTTGATTTTTATATTTTAATTCAAGAAAGTTTTAAAAATTAGACTTTTTGTATAATGATGAATGTTTTATTTTTCATAACTGTTTTTTACATTTATTTTCTTGCAAAAATATTTTCAATTATTTTTCTAAGGTTTTGATGTTATTGAGATTTCTAAATTAATTTCTCATTTGATATCTAAGTTCAAACTAATTGGCTCAGTTGTTGTCCTTGTTGACAGGACATATCATTTTCTGCCTGTTTTTTCTATCTTTGATTTCAGTCTTGACATTAAATTGAATTTTTAAACTTTTAACAAGTCTGTTACATTCTCCTTTAGTTGTGAAGATTGTATTTTTTAGCTGGGACATTAGTTACACCTTCTTTATTACTCACATGACTAGGCAATTAGAAAAGACATGTCATCTACTCAAAAAAAATTAATTCAAGTTCTTCAGTGTTATTAACAAATAAACCTTTATATCTTAAAAGAATATCTATTTGAAAAAATGAGAATACATGGGGAAATGTTTGAGCAATTCTTGACAAAAGCAGTAATCTTTCTCTGGTAATTAAAAGAATGAAAAGGACTGATTGAGGATTTATGAAAAGAAATAACATTGGAAGCAATTTAATATAAACCATAAGGGTGGATTGAAAAGTGACTATGAAGGAGTGATGCTAGAGCTGTGAAATATTGCATTCATTAAACTCAACTCTTCATATTCTTCGCCTGCATTGTTTCCTTCTAGGTAAACTGACATTTAACTGTTCAAAGAAGACTTCACCCTGTTGGCCAAAAGTTTATACTAAATACTTTTTTCTGCAGGTACTTGATAACACAATGATGCCAAATTTTGTCCATTTTAAAGGGAAACCACTCTTAATAACTTTTGAGTCTTCTTTGAACAGTCAGATATAAGTTTAGGTGGAAAGAAAAAATGCAGTTATTCATAAAAGTTGAAATTAATGCATGCAATATTTCACAGCTCTAGCATCACACCTTCATAGTCAGTCTATAAACTTTCAGCCCACCTATATTTACCAGTGGCGGAAAATTTGACAAAAAAGATAATATATCTATGGTAGTGAAACAAAGTATATTTGTTTGAAAGAAAAGCAAAATGTTTTCACCAAAGATGAATAAAATAGGCAGTATCAGTACTTGCATGATGTAAATGTGTTTCTACATATATTGTTTCACTTGCTGTTTTAGTTTTTTTTCTAAATTTATTTTTCAGCATTTATTAATAACTTGGAATAGTAGTTAAAACATCCAAGACTTAAAAATGTT